TGAAAAAGCAGTGAGATAAGTTGGTGAACCAAGGGAGAAGAATACAGCTATGAAAGTCACTGTCAGGTTAGCACTCAACAGCAGAAACAGATGTTCAGGGAAAAACAAGGCACAGAAAATGCACCAGGGGAAAGGTTTCCAGGGCAGTGAAAAACCCAAGAATCAAAGCAAGGCAACAGGTAAGAAAACTTCAAAGCTGTGGTTTTCTATCACATATCCAAGAAAATTATAGATAGCCAAGAAACTTAGGGTAAAGAGAGTGAGGGACAAAATACAAATAGAGAGGGAGATGAGAAGGCTCTTTGCCTCATTTTGATAAATATTAAGACCGAGTTTAAGAGTTCATACAGTGTCTGAACATGACAGTTAAGCTGCAACAGGTTAAGGGTTTAAATTACTGTGGTTATCACTTGCCACCCCATGCCAAAAGGAATATGGGTTTAGCAGTTACCTCCTATGTAGCCTTTTCAGCTGAGTCGTTCAGGGGAAGCTTGGCACACTGGAGATTTATAAAACAGCTGAAACATGTTTATTTTCTTCCAATAAATGTGTGAAACTCTTTGAATTTGCTCTTGATGGCAGGATGTCTCGGGGACGAATCAATGAGGCTTTCAGACTGGATGATAACACGCTGGAGTTTGTGGGCATACTTCCAACCCTGGCCACACCTTATGAACCGCCAGTCACCATCTGGTTAATTATATTTGGGGTGGTCATTAGCCTGGTTGTCATTGGAGTTATTGTCTTGATCATCACTGGGCAGAGAGATCGCAAAAAGTGAGTAGCATTTTTGGTACTGTGAACATGACCCCTGGGAGACTTCCTGACGGTTGAATCATCAGGGTGCTTACAAATAGGCTGCCAAACCTAACTGAAGCAAGTTAAGGAATAAGGTTTATTATCCCCCTCCCATCAATGGTGATAACTAAAGTTTCGGCTCCCTGCCTTTCAGCGCACAGCAGCTTTGGCAGCTTAGGGCAATTTCCCCATCATCATCAGTTTAACCAAGGCTGCTGGGCACTGTGGCTGCAGGGAGCCTCAGCATGGCCAAGATTCTGCCAGCCCGGTGGATGGAGTGGCCTGCTGGGAGCATGGTGCCTCCTCCAGCAGCGGAGCTGCTCACATTCATCAGCACCTGCAGTTTTCGATAATCTTGTTGGAGGCTGTCCAGTAATGTAATTTTCCTTAAATATTATTGCATTAACAGCAGCATAGCTGGGTTGCTTTTCTATGCCTCTCCATTAATAGGGCTTCTAAGAATGTAGTAGGTTTGCTACAGTTCCCCTTAAAATGAACACAATCCATTTTATATAAATATTCCCAGTTAAACACAGCATTATTTACAGTAGGGGATTCTGGGGATCCAGAAGGACTTGAACAGAACAGGTGCTTCTAAAATAAAATGAATTTTCATTACAGGAGAGCAAGAGAAAGTAGGAGTGAAGCAGAATCAAACTGTGAAGAGGTGAACCCTTATACAGAAGAGGGAAGAAGCAACATGGGTTTTGAGCCATCTGAAGAGACACAAACATCATTCTAGAAGACATGGGTACCCTAAGGGTTTCTGGTTTTTTTCATTTCACTTTTAACAATAGTGCCTAGCAAGGACCAAAACACTCTGGATGTCATCAAACATAATGTCTTCTGGTTGATCATTAATTTACTGGTTCATAGGCAACAACAGCTAAATCTGCTGCTTATGTGATAACTAGAAAACATACAAAAATTGAAGATATACAAGTCCTGTGGCTGCTTGGTGAATTATGCGCATACTATTACACACTATTTGTGCTGTTTTTCATAAGTGTGCTGCATCCAACTTCTCATTGTTTCCTCTGTAATGAGATACAAAAACTTGGAAGTATTCTGTTGTATAGAGATCAAGACAGACATAAGAATAATTCACTCCTGATGCCCATGGGGAACATCTTGATCCTTCCAGATGGAGACCTCAAAAGTGTATCTAATAGACAGTGAGAAAAAAAAAACCCTGTCCATCAGAAGAACCTTAGTGATGAAGACTTCAATTTGATATGAAATAACTGCAATTTTTGCACCTTTAGGAAATCTGTATCAATGTAAAATGGATACTGGATGAAGACTAACAAGCACTGGAACTTTGTTAGGAAGTTGTAACATAAGTTATTTTTCTGTTTGCTTAATAAGTATTGTAGAGGCCAAATAGCCCATAATTCCTCAGGAAAAAAAAACAAAACAAACAAAACACAAAACAAACTACTCTCTGTGTTATGCTGTCATCTAAAAATGGAATAAACTTCCTCAATACTAAATGGTTGAAGTTAGCTTTTTTTTTTCAGTACCTTAGCCATTGCCTCCGCTATTACAAATCCTGCATTACGAATACTGCCTACTACAAATTGCACTATTACCTACAGGGGCATTAGATTGAGGCTTGGGAGGTTCAAGTTGCAGCTGAAGAAGAAAAGCAGTTCACAAGGAGGGTAGTGGAGCACCGGAACAGGTTGCCTCTTCCATGTTCTGGGGGAGGCTGTGGGATCCCTACCTTTAGAAGGGTTCAGATCTCAGGCAGACAAAGGTTCGGCTGAGCCAGTGGTGCGGACAGTCCCACCCTGAGTGAGCAGTTTGGCTGGTTGACCTCCAGAGGTCCCTTCCAGCCAGCTTTTCTACGATCCTGTGTCTTGTAGGTCCTATGCCATACTTGCCACCATGCCAGCGCAGTTGTTCTGTACACATCAGGGTCACTGAGAGGCACAAGGTCTCTACTCAGTCCTGCGTTCCTGACACAGAGCCAGTAGCAAACATGAGCCTACATGAAAAACTAATAGGCCTCCAAAATTATCAGAAACCATAGAAAGCAGTCAAACAGCTATCTGAAAACATACAGGTAGACTCTGTGGGCTCACAAAACGCTGTCCTAATGCTCCACACTCACTTCCTATTTAAGACCGTCAAATGAGACGGTTCAAAATGGGAGGCAGATGACACTGATTAGCTGCAAACTAGACAGGAGTGTAAAGAAATGCAAATAATTTTTAAGTTGCCTACCTGCACCACATATACCATTGCCGTAATATCACCAAACCTTAGTACTTTAGCTGAACTTTTAAGATAAATAATTCAACTCTATGCGGTCTTCTTACTTTCTGTTCAGTAACAGAAAAAGGGAATGGCAAAGCTAGAAACAATCAAATAATGTAATTAGTCATGCCAGGCATCTTCAGATCTGTTGTTAAGATTAACGTTTCCATTAAGGCAAAGCTTTCTTCTCAAAGCCATTAATTTTAAAAGCTGTGCTATGAATCAAAAAAACACCATTCAGAATTGTCAACACATAAAGCCACTAAAAAAAATATAGCAGGATGTTGGAAGAACAGAAATAAAAAGACAACGCTTATATTAAAAAAATCAACCACATGCATTAGCCCCAACAATACCTCATGCCCTCTCTGCTGGGGGTGCTCCCCCTCCTCTCATATTTTATCGGCGTCAGTACTCTTTCCTCACTCTGTCTCTGGCCCAGCTTGATGCACAGGCAACATCATACCATTCACCCCCTTTCCCTCATGAGCAGCCTCCCATGGTCCCCCCAGGCTTGCGTAGATCCCCACAGTCACTTGCATGACCCCAAATGCTGCTTTCCCTTAAACACGTACACAGCTCCCCACGTAGACAGGGATGTTCTCTGCTAGCCAGCTTCCAGCGCTGGGACCAGATAATGCTGGCAAGCACAGGCACTGGAGCCTCTGGCTGGCCAGAAACCTCAATTTCTTCCTCCCCACATGTCTGTACCCTGCATTTCTTACTCCTTAGGTTCAGGTGAGCTCAAACTGGAGCTGCAGAGGGGTCCCTGCTAGGGCTGGGCCAGCTCCACCAGGGAATGGGCAAGCAGATGTCACTTGGGCTCTTAGAGGCATCACACAATGAACTAGCTCAAATACAAGGAGGGAGAGGATTTTTTCCAGACCTTTCTTTATTTTAAACCCCCTTTATTTTATACAGATTAGATCAGCATTTTACAAATGTCAGTGTCTAAGTTTAGATGCCCGCGTTATAATTACGTAGCTTTGGATGTATTTCGTATCTCTAGACTTACTGAAGTTAGCCCTAATTTTTGCAGTGCTATGCACATTTGAAAGTTGGGTGCTCTATGGAAGTGTTAACATCAGGAGCCAAATTTCAGCTCCTCAGTGGTAAAATATTTGGCTAAGCAGTTATATTAATAGGATTTTCAGTTCTCTTCAAATTTTTGCTCTTTGGGTTTTACAGAGATTGGCAAATTTACCATTTACTATTGCAATGACTATGGAATTCTGCGTAAAACTTTTCTCTTTTTTTGCTATTTTTACCTGTAGTGGGAAGCAATAACACTCTAATAAACAACTCATATGCTGCAAAGTTGCAATTATCTTAGATACCTAGCTCAGAATAAATTCCAAATCAAATGTACACCCTGAGGGCCGAAACTAAAGTCAATAGTACTGGTAAGCAAACTGATATAATATTTTACCAGTAGTAATTTCTAAGTAATTGAAAGCAAGACTATAACTATTTATGTTGCTGCCACTTGCAGCAGTTCTAAATTTGACTTCAGGCGTCAGCTTCAAGTGATTACAAAGAAAAAACCACATTCAGATGAGTTACGATAATCAGAAAACCTAACAAGCATATATTTCCCAGTTCACATTTCCAGTTAAGGCCAAATAATGACAGCCTGGAAGCACTGAAGGAGCCTACACAATGAGTATATATTTCTCAGTGTCTGAGAGGTCTTTTGAGACAACGCTAAGCAAATGAATTATATTCTTCCACAGCATCCTTCCAAATTCTGTCACCCGCGGAGTGTTGCAAAAGCTTTCTCCATACGCTTCTCGGTCAACTCCCTGATTAAATGAGGAGAACACTAATATACAGAACAATAGGGGTGGCTAATGTCAGGCAGATTTCAGATTTAGCTCTCATAGAGAAGACAGGTGATATGGATCCAGTATGCACAGACATCTGTTTCTGAATCTTCTTTTTCAAGCTTGGTTGTCTTCTCTCAGTGCCTCAAAAAATGGTAAGAGCTGATAAAAGGCAGGGCGCTTTTCTGGTAGCTGAATGAAGCAAAGATGATGGGTATGGTTATTTAATTTTGAAATCATTCAGGAACTGTAATTTGCATTAGTTTTTCTTGATTTTAGCATGCAGAAATTTGTAGAGACAGTGATGATTATGAGGTAAAGAAAATTAAAGTTACTTTTTATATGTATCTTATGTTGTGATAGTTTAATATTATTTCTTTGCATTAGCATGTCCTCAAATAAAAGTGATTTTTCTCATTTTTATGACAATTATATTAAAAAAAACCCCAAACATCGCTGTTATTCCATGTTATCGCAAATAATGTGCCAAACAGTCCTTTGTTGCTGGTGAGAAACAAGTCATGGTCCACAGACAGCTGACTAAAATTTAGATGAAAAGGAACAATAAATCAGGACAATTCTTGGCACAGAAGATGCAGATCACAAAATAAAGTGAGCATGATTAACATTTGACTTAAAGCTCCTAGAAGACTCACAGATGGGGTAACACATCCTTCTCATTCTATGGGTAGGGTTATTTCACACAGCTTTAGCTATCTAAAAAGGTAGAGGTCTCATCTACATTTTCTCTTTAAGATCTCTGTATAGGAAAGCACATATCTTTTATTCTGTGGTGGCTAAGACAGAAAGGACAAATGACCATAGAGAGGTACCAGGAATGGTCCTGTAATCATTTAAGAAATGTAGACAATTAGTTTAGCTCAGCACCCAAAATTTTAAACCGTTAAAATTAGACGAGCAGAATCTCATCCTGTGTATTATGTTTATGTTGAAGGGCATTTTACTGTTATTTGCTTAAATATGTGGTCCTGAAAAGAAGGGAGCCGATCTTTCTTTATGCCCTGTTTCCAGTACTAACAATGTCCTGAACTAGGCTGCTCTACAGAATGTACTATATACAAGTGATGGCTTTTATAAGGGTTATTTTCCACTAGGAACACTAGTTCAGCTATCAACAGGGACTCCTAGTGACTCCTATTATTTCATTTTCTCCCTTTTGTATGTGCAGATGTGCATACCTCATGCCAGCAGTTGTACATTATCTGGCAGATGACGTCTGAAACCAGTTGCGGTCTGTAAAGTCTGTATCCTTGAGAGACTTTCTCAATCACCTGCATGTTATCGTAGAGCTCATAGGGCTGCTTTCCCAAAGTGAACACCTCCCACATTAAGATACCTGCAAAAACATTCATGGCAATGGAAGACAAGAAATGAAAGTTAAGAAATGCAAGATAATCCCTTTCTCCCAGAAGAAGACACACTTGCAACATATAAGAGATCAGACTCTTACAGAGAGTATTTTCCAATGAAAAGTATGGAGATGACTAACAAGTGTCATTCTGTACCCAAATGTAAAACAACTTCTGCAGAAGAAGGTAAAGTTAGATGACAGTTACAAAATATATTTCATGCGGACAATGATGGAGAAAACCCAAGACATAGCTACCCATGGACTAAATTTTTTAGAAAATACATGCAAACATCACCTTATATATGTATGTGCAAGTAGAAAGAGAAAGGGAAGGAAAAAAAAAAAGACAGCTATAGCTATCTCTGTCTTTATAGAATAATAAGAAAATATTTACTGATTTTTTTAAGTGGGTGAGACTTATAGTCTTTTGGTATCAGAAAGATTTCTGAATACTTTATAGCGTCAGCTATAAATACCTATAAATACTGGATTACACTGAAGCAATAGAAGCACTGGATAATATCATAATCATTAATTCATACTGATAGCTTTGCAAGAAATAATTTTTGCTGTTACTGAACATATGTGATAATCAAGTCAACCATAACGTAAAAAAAAAATTTGTGAAATATTTATTTCACAGTGATATACAATATTGGCAGCAATGTGGGGTTTTTTTAAAAGAAATTTTTTGGATCTTTGACTTCCCTCCAGCTTGAAGACTGGAGCATTGTAGTGTCACAAAGGGATCAGAATAAAATGATACCTGAATCCCAGATTTCCCTGGTGAGAACATTAAAAACCCCAAGTTTATTTCTTCTCTGACATCTGCATTTGGGATATGAATACATCAGTTCAGTTCTTTAGCCCTTTAAAGAGTCATTAGAACTGACGGATCCCGCTCTCTCCCTGCTTCCACTGCATCAATGGATAGCGTTAAAATGAGAAAAGACCTTCTAAGGAAAAATAATGTTTCTCACTGAAGTTAATGCCAATATTGAAGTTAATGACAATAAAGCCTGGAGCCAGGATTTCATTGATAAGTGCAAAACCAAAATGTATCACCAGAAAATCCAACTTCTGATTTAATTGCATATCTTATAAACAACCTGTAAAGGGCATGAATGAGCTGTGTCTCTGCCAGAGTAGTTAATATTGGGAGACTAACTGAAGTTGAAGATAAGAAGCAGCCCAGCATTTGGAAGCACTTTCATCTGCTTTATTCATCATTGTTCAATGGCAAGAACAGTGGGTTCCCAATCTTTCATCAACCTGACAGCTGCCAAAATTTTCCTATTGGAGGAGCAAACCCATGTAAGTGAAATTTAAGCCCATTCACAAAGGGCCGCCTTTCCTTTGACACCTTTTGCAGTCTTTTAGAAACACTGAACAGACTCCAGGGATTTATAAATCATAGCTTGAAAACCACTGAAGTAGAAGTTCAAATGTTTGAAATTCTAGGATAGAGAGTGATCTGCAAACGCATCTGATGTTTGCTGAGATGCAGATTCCCAGCTCACACATGCTCTCTTCCACGGCTGGCTTATGCACAGAGTCCACTCTGACCTCTGCCACTGACAGAAAAGCTCTTTTGACTTAGGCAGCACTGATGTATGGTCTAGATATACCAAAGATACCATTTGAACCCCACTGACAACAGTTTACTTTACTAAATTAAACACATATATAGCAAATAGGGCGTCGGCAGAGTTTTTATGTGCCTAAAAGAAAAACAGTAGGGCTGAAAAAATCCAAAGAGGATAGGGCTTGGATGCATAAAAATATTAAACAAGAACATAAGCTGTAACTGCTTTTTACATTCCTTCAGCATGTAAATGTCTAGCATTTCTGCTTAGTAAGCTGAGGAAATCCAAACATAGTGGTATATATGCATACATATTTATGTCAAATTCCATACATACCAAAGGCCCATACATCTGACTTGCTGCTAAATTTAGTGTAATGAAAAACTTCTGGTGCTGACCACTTCACTGGAAACTTGGTTCCTAATGAACTTATATACAGGTCATCCAGAACATACCTACAAGGCAAGAACCAAACTTGGTTGTGACTGAGTTACAGTGAAATACAATTTACTGATTCTTCCTTGCACATCACAAGGTTCCTAAGGAAAGCCTAGCCAGAATCCCAGATTTCCAAAGGATACCTGATAGAGGCATTAGCTATAATCTATAGAGCAGATCATTGCTATCAACTTATTAGAGGAAAAATTCAGAATCATGGAAATGCCTGTTGTAAAGCCATTTAGCCCAGCCTCCAGCTCGGATAGGATTATTCCCAACATCAGATCAGGTCAGCCATGGCTCTGTGTAGCCAAGTCTTAAAAGCCTCCAAAGACTGCAATCTCGTAGTCTCCACTGACGCATGTTTCACTGTTCCACCACCCTCCTGGGGAAACAACTTCTCTTACTGTCCAGCTTGAACTTCCCAAGCTACAGTATGGGCCCATTGTCCCCTGTTATATCACCTGGCGCTGATAAGACTTATTTGGCTCCATCAGCTTTGCAACTGTAAGTAGCTATAGGCAGCTTTTAGATTCCCTTTTAGCTTCCTCTTCACCAGACTAAGCAGCCTGCTCCCTCAGCCCCTTCTCAGAGGACATGTTCTTTAGGCTGCTCAACCTCTCCACCTTCCCTCCACTGAGGCTACTGATTAAGATGTTTGGCTCCCAAATCAGGTGAAAAATCTTGTAGATGAAGTGAATTTTGAGATTCCTTTAACAAACATGACTAGTGAAATCTCTCAGCTGCAATTGGCCTTTAAGACTTAATTTCTTGCAACAGTAGAATGACTTTATTCCAGCCCCGTAACGGCTTATGGTCATTAATGGAAAGGAGACACAAAGAACTGTATCACACCCTGTGGCTTAACTTTCCTAACAGCCGGTTGCTAGCTGATCAATGCCAGTAAACTACGTATACACTAACATCATAGCTTCACAAGGGTTCCAGTTCTTTTACTTACCTAGTCATCCCAAAGTCAGATACTTTCACAGTAAGATTGCTGTCAACCAAACAGTTCCTAGCAGCCTTTAGTAGAGAAATGAGAAAAGAGATGAGTGGAAAAAACACGAAGAGGAGCAAATAACACCATGTCTTGGTAACTTGCTAATAATAATTTTTATCCTCTAGCATTTTGATGAATAATGACATTCTTTGATTAAAGCCATTAATTTTGGAACTGTAAGGGAGCAGTACATAGCTCTCTTATTTCCCTTTTTGACTGTTGATTGAAAAACATTCTCTATTATTATTCCAGTTCTACAAATAAGGACATTGAGGGATAAGGAAACACAAGCGAGAAACCCATATTCACCTAGAAAAACAGCAACAGAGCCAGGAACTAAGCCCGGTCTTTAAAATGGCATCCTACTCTAGGGTCCTTTTCAGTAGTCTCAGAATTTACCAAGGCACCAAAAAGTGAAAAACATTGATTGGATTATTCGCAATGCACTATAAACAGAGTAGAGCAATGAAAGGTGATTTAAACAGCTTGATTTATGAAAAGTTCAATATAAGCCTAGTTCTGCAAATGATCACTTGAGAACATTTATCTAAGGCTGTATTCTCTGCCTGCATGCCTATTAATTTCTGTGATACAGTTGCATCTACAGTTTTCAATGTGAATTCAAGCTCAAGTTTTATTTCTGTTTTCCCATGGCACACAGCCAGTTTTTGGGAAACAGACTTTGCATTTACAGCTTGAATTCTGCTACTTAAGTCGTCTGATAGTCCTAATTTCTGAACCAGGGTGTGGAAATCGGTGAGGAACAGATTTAACAACTTTGTTTACACATAAAGACAATTATTTGAAAGCATCAAGAAGACACTTAAAATGCTACCTGAGGAGACTGCAACCCTACTGGAAAATAAAGCAAGTCTGTAGCATAAATTGTCACAAATCTTCCAACATATTTTTGTCTAGAGTTAGAAGGCAAAACATTGCCACTTACTCTGAAGCACATTGCGCCAGAAATTTGTCTAGGTTCACTTGTAATAGGCCAATAAAATAACAGCTTATTTCCCCAAAGCCAGAATTCTAGAAAGCTAAGTTTTGCATAAACTTCCAGTCCAAGTCCTTGGAAGGTCTGATCCCTTCATCAGGGGGAGCAACTGGAGCAGAGGAGGCTGAGGGCTGACCTTATAGCCCTTTACAATTGCCTGACAGGAGGCTGTAGCAAGGTGGGTGTTGGTCTCTTCTCCCAGGTAATGGGCAATAGGACGAGGGGAATTGGCCTCAAGTTGAGCCAGGGCAGGTTTAGGTTGGACATCAGGAAAATTTTTTTCACTGAAAGGGTTGTCAAGCACTGGAATGGGCTGCCCATGGAAGTGGTGGAGTCGCCATCCCTGGAGGTATTTAAAAGATGGGCAGACAAGGTGCATAGGGATATAGTTTAGTGGGAATGGCAGTGCTAGGTTAACGGTTGGACTTGATGATCTTAAAGGTCTTTTCCAACCTAAATGATTCTATGATTCTATGAAATACTTGCTTGAAAACTGGCAGATAGATGTATTTAAAAGAGCTAGGTAGCTGCAGGCTTTCAAGTTCTGCCCCTGCTTGCAATGCACCAGAGTAAATTCCAGTTGATCCTAGCAGTGTTCACACTTGTTTTGTATGAGCTCCCAATTAGATAAATCCCTAACTCATCAGAAAACAATCCAAGTGGCCCAAATCTTCAATGTTGCACCGCTTTCTCCTGGAGGGCGACAGCATCATTAGACAGAACTCTTCACTGGAGTGGACTACTTTTACAATGGATGTCTGTGCTGCCAAGTGGTGCACAAATCCTTGAGGATAGAGCCCACAAAGGCCGGCAGCACAGTACGCAGTGCTGCAACCCTGTCAGCCCAGCTCTGAAGCAGAGCCTATTAGCTTGTGGGCAGTGCTGTCTACATGCGGCATTAGTGCTGCTCGTCCAGAGCTGCCTTGTAATGAGCCAGCTGGGGGGCTCTGCTCAGCGGACCACAACGTTCTTTGGGGTGAGTGCCAACAGAGCCCGTGCAGCTATGGGTGATCCTGAGGGATAGGACTGCCTGGTGTTAGGTCATCCCCCTACCTTCCACTTCTCCTGTGGGATAGCTTACCAAATCTCTGTGTATGAACTGACAGCTCTCCAGAAACGCCATAGCATCACAAACATCATAACATATTTCCAGAAGCTGAAGGGGTTGTAGTTCCTTCCCATGGCTCCTTAAGTAGCTAAGCAAACAGCCATTAGGCATGTATTCCGTCACTAGATAGATGGGATATGATTTTGAGCATACACCGTACAGTCTAACAAGTTTGGGATGATTCAGTTTCCTGAAATAAATAAAAATAAAATAATCAAAGAATAAATGGAGACTCTTGTGCATTTCTGTAAGTTTTGTTCTTCAAATATTAATACAATGTACTGAAAGAAACTATTGAGACTGGATACAGACTTCAAATAATCCTTTTCAAGAACTGAGTGTCCTTCTGCTGATTACTTTGAAACTCAGTATTGGTGACAATCAAATGAAGATGCAGTATTGATGAAATGACAACTTTATAGCCAAACCCTGAAATAGGACTTAGCAGTGCAAAAGTGAAACCTTATTGGTGGGAGAAAATAGACCTAAGTTGGTGGTGTGGACCTTAGACTTTAAGGTTTTCTACTACAACAATGTTGCAAAATTTTCACATTGAGAATTCTGGTCGTTATCAGATAGTTAACTGGCAGGAATGTAGTGCAGTCCTTCAGGATACAAGATACACAAAATATTTCTGGATTTGGATGCTTCAATTACCATCTCATGAAATTTCGCTGGAAATTCTGACATCCTTAGCTCTTTGGAATCAGAGACTAAAACTTCAAGTCTCATGTTCATATTTCTGGCATTTCTCAGTTATTGATCTGTCTCTCATTCCTACCTGTATCAATGCTCAGTGACATATGTGGAACCTCTGAAGTTGTGGAAGAGATGTTAATTGAAAACTTTGTAGATGACCATATCAATCTTTGTGAAGCTCTTTTGGTAATACTTCAAATATCCTATAGGGCTAACTATTTAGCTTGTGCCTAATGCACTCAATGCTACTTAATGCTATTTTTAAGAGGAAATTCTCTTTCCTGTGTGTGGTATACACTACTGATTAATGTTTGGAGACATCATTATTTCCAAATAATTAAACAATGCCATAGCTTACATCATGGTCTGAGCTTCTTCTATGAATTCATCTTCTGACATTGATCCCTCTTTAATCATCTTTACAGCCACATCATATTGTCCCTTCCACTTTCCCAGATGCACCACTCCAAACTGACCACTCCCTAGCTCTCTCAACAGGGAAATTTCTTCTCGTTTCAGCTCCCAGCTTCCTAGTGAGATGAAAGAAATTACTTTAGCAAAAAAAATGGACAAATGCAAGCATGGTATTCCCCATATACACTGCTGTTGTTTTCTCTGGAGGGTTGCAAAACCACACAGCACTGAAGCAACATACCTGTCTCTCAGCTTTGTGCTTGAGTTATGGCAGGACACTACACTTCCTACAAGTGTTGTTTGCTACTGCTTAAGTTTAAGCCTTAAAAAATAGATTTGAGAAAGATTTATGCATCAAATAATGATATATATTCATGTAGGAGACTGGTGAACAAGTATAGTGGCTGTGGGGAGAGCTTATTGTGGCCTTTCAGTACTTAAAGGGGACCTGTAGGAAAGTTGGGGGCAATCTTTTTAGCAAGGCCTGCTGTGGCAGGACAAGGGGTAATGGTTTTAAACTAAACGAGGGTAGATTTAGACTGGATGCAAGGAAGAAATTTTTTACAATGAGGATGCTGAAGCACTGGAACAGGTTGCCCAGAGAGGTGGTGGAAGCCCCATCCCTGGAAACATTCAAGGCCAAGTTGGGCAGGGCTCTGAGCAACCTGATCCAGTTAAAGATGTCATAGAATCATAGAATCGTTTAGGTTGGAAAAGACCTTTAAGATCATCACGTCCAACCTTTAACCTAACCCTGCCATCCCACCACTAAACCACGTCCCTAATCACCTCCTCTCCCCATCTTTTGAACACCTCCAGGTATGGGGAATCCACCACTTCCATGCGAAGCCTGTTCCAATGCTTTACAACCCTTCGGTGAAGAATTTTTTCTTAATGCTTTGTGGCTCTCCTCTGGACATGTTCCAGCAATGCAATGTATTTCTTGTAGTGAGGGGCCCCAAACTGCACACAGTATTCAAGGTGCGGCCTCATCAGCACCAAGTACAGGGGCACAATAACTTCCCTACTCCTGCTGGCCACACTATTCCTGATACAAGCCAGGATGCCAGTGGACACCTTGGCCACCTGGGCACACTGCTGGCTCATGTTCAGCCAGCTGTCAACAAGCACCCCCAGGTCTGTTTCTGCCAGGCAGCTTTCCAGCCACTCTTCCCCAAGCCTGTAGCGTTGCATGGGGGTTCTTGTGACCCAAATGCCGGACCTGGCACTTGGCCTTGTTGAACCTCATACAGTTGGCCTCAGCCCATCGATCCAGCCTGTCCAGGTCTCTCTGCAGAGCCCTCCTCCCCTCGAGCAGATCAACACTCCCACACAGTTTGGTGTCATCTGCAAATTTACTGAGGGCACACTCAATCCCCTCGTCCAGGTCATCGATAAAGATATTAAACAAGACCTGCTCACTGCAGGGGGGTTGGACTAGATGACCTCAAAACGTCCCTTGCAACCCAAAGTGTTCTATGTTTCTGTGATTCTATTACTTTGCCAGGTAGTGTGGCAAAAGGAAAGAATGTCCATGGCTCATATGTGCTGGGCAAGGAAGCATGCAAAGTCTTGTGCAGCTGATAGAAGACTTGACATAAAATACCTTAAAAAGAGCACATCATAAAAGTTGGTATAAAATGTCTTGGCATTCATGCTGCCCCAGATGTAGACTAGATGCACTTGTAGGAAGGGTTATCCTATTTCGTAGAACCTGTTTCACAGAACTCTCAATGCTACGCTGGACAAGAGGAAACTACAGAAGGAGCTATTGACTGAAAGACCATCCTTCCCAAATTCTCACATTGCTTCCTTAATGGACAAGCAGAAATGGCCACCAAACAAAATTATATAACTTCCCGCAAGCCTGAAGGAAGTAAGAGTTATGATTTTCTGGTTATTCTTTTCTTAGTGGCCAAAACTGACACCAGTTTCAAAAAGGAAAGTTATCTTCATACCATTTCCTAATGTAGCTGTGGATGGGACTTTATTTACTTGTGTAGACACTGCATGCCGGAGCCTTGTCACCATACCTACAAAGAAAACCCGTTAAAGGTCACAATATATACATGAGTCTTCTGAAATCAAAGAAAATACAGGGAGACTACTACCTTCCTCTCCCTGCCACTTTACAACTATCCAGGTAATGACAGATATTCAATATTCAGCTGCTGCTGCATCACTTCGCAAGACTGAAAAATTTTCTCTGCTTAAGGGCTAGTCCAGCAGAGGTACTGCAAGAAGATGTGGTACGATACCAAAAAGCAAAGGAACAGTACAGCAAAGGAAAGCAGCTGTATTGATTGTGAATATGTTAGATCAAGTTTCACCCAAACTCTTCCAAAAGAGATTTCAATATTTAGAGTATTCATTATTGGAAGAGATTCACCATAATGCTGAGAAGTCCAGAAGCCTAAGCCAAAGCCAATCAAGTAGAAAGAGCATATAGGATTACCGGCCGAGTTGTGCTGATGGTAGTGTATAAGCTTGGGAATTGATTCAAAACAGTAATTTTCAGCAAGGTAATACTTGTTCTCAGGGGTTCTGTGCACATGGTAATGTTTGACTGTTCCTTTTTTACTTCTGAAAGACATCACAAAGTGCAGTACATGTCAAAGCCTTGCAAAGTGCCTCCAGCCCATGCGTTAATAGATCAGTTAGGTGCTGAACGAACTGCAACAGCCCAGCTGGCCAAATGACAAAATATGAAGCAGATGTCACCAGAAAGACTGTCACATTTACCTCAGTCTGCCTTTCCCCCCTTAACACCTGCTGGCTATGTAGTACAGGCTCCTAGCACATTGGAGACTGCTGCTGCATATTCTAATGTAGTCTGATGGTTAGTACTTGTCTCCCAACAGTTACATCTAGAACAAAAGACTTTCATATACTGCCTTTGCAATGGTTCTACATCTAATTTTGAAGCTCTTCCTTTGCCCTTCCCCATCCCCTTCTCTTTTTCCTTCCCCTTCCTGCTCCCCTTCCCTTTCTTCTCTCTCACTCTTGAGACCCTGCTGTTCCCCTAGATTATGTGCCTGTTACATGCCTATGTTTAGATGAGACAATTCTGGACCTCCGTTCCCCCATTCGGGGAGCCATTGTCATGAATTAATTCACGTAACTAATATGACCTGAATGTGCCCAAGGTTCACCTTTAACACAATGTCAAGGTTTTGTTGTTGATCAGTCCCACCAAGCAGCATGCCCATAGCATGCTCATAGAAATGGTACACATTCTTTGGATACTCACTCAGGAACCTTGCTGAACACAGACACAGTATACATCCCCTCTTGGCTAGATTTCCGAACCATAAAAGCACCTTCTTTGCCCTAATTACAAAAAAAAAAAAAAAAAAAAAAGAGTCACAAGGAACAATGATACTGGGATTCATTTCAGTAAACTTTAGGCTTTTACACTTTAATATCCACAAAGGAGAGAAGGAGACGTGACTCATCTGACCTCCTCTAAGGACTATGTTAGGACAAGATGAATTATACCTTAGAAATATTTATTTCTCTCCACTAAAAAGAGGGTCTAGGTAACTGGTTGTGGTATCCCACTGTAAATGTTTAAAATTAGATGAGTTTTACCCTAGCCCAGACATGAGGCAAGTAGTCTGCAATTTTGTTTTGGTGCACAGATACAGGCTTATATCTAGGGACATGAAGAGTTGTTAACCCCATCTCCTTCCTCATGCCCCCTCCAGAGGCAGTACACATTATAAGACCCAAACACTGCCATATACATCCCATCTGAATAAGAGCTCTATCCACCACACTCAGTTCCTTTACATAATGCATTAGATTGATGTATTTTCTATTGCCAAAGTATTTCTGAATTCCTGAATAAGTAGAAAGATTTTCACTGCACTCTATTATATTTGGACTATTTTTAGCCTTTATGTGGTACTCCAGTCCTAACTTTCACTATCCACCTTTACTTCTCTGTGAAGGGTTTACCATACTGGGCTGGATATTCTGGTTTTCAGAGTTCATTTAACAGCTACACCTCTGATGTGCTAGGAATGGCGATTTCAGGGAGGAAAGAAGACATCTAGAACCTCACATACAGGCCAAGGTTCATTGCTATGAAGTTCAAAAGAAACTTCATATCCCCTTAAAGTTAACTGGAGTCAGGAGTATCCAGCACCTCTTGGGGCTCTGTTAAAACTGCCTTTCCGCAGTGATTTGCCACACTTTAATCTCATTCCCAAACCTATGGTGCAGGTCTAAGGGAAAGGACACTGAGCCAAGACTCCCAAAGGGTTGGGTTATATCAAAGTTGTCAGTGGCTAGGTACCAGTAAGGCTGGCTGTGAGAAAGCAGCAAGCCACAAGAGGGAAACTTGTTTACACAGCACACCCAAGCTCAAAGCATGGCTGAGGCTAGGCCTCCTCCAGGAAGGTACATGGACAAGTCCTTCTGCAGTCGTCTGCTGTAAAGACTTGTCCACCTCACTAATCCTATGGTGCTATCCATCCTTGCTCCTAGTCAGCTGCACCCAGCCATTGCTCGGCGGGCATAGCACTGAGTTTACTCAGGGTTGTCTGCTTTTCTAGGTGAAATTCTTTCATTCCACATTTGTATATCGTAAAAGCAATTACTCTAGACTGATCTGCAGAAAGAGCCACACTGGAGCAAACAACACAGGCCTAGAGGTAAAACCAAAAAGCAAAGCTTTGAGGGGAAATGCACTCAGTGTGGCTTTGTTCCAAGCGTATTTTAGAGGTGCATCATTTGTTCATTTATGTAGAAGAGCCATTAATGCATCCAGGCATTTCTGGGCATCTGTTTATCGATACCAAGTTAGCACAAGAGTTTCTAGCACTCCGTAGTACTACAGCTATTTGAAGAGCATCAGCATCCTCTAGCTACACAGTATAGCAAAGACAACAGAAACAGAAACATTTCCATGGTTGTTTGTACACAAGCAATAAAGGATATGTAGGACCTTCTGACGGAGCAGCTGCTCAGACTGGGCACGGGAGATATTACCAGCATACCAACTGCAAAGAGAAATATTGGGCTTATTATTCACAGGCTGATTTTTGAATAATGGACAGCAGACACATGAAAAATGCTAGACCGTAAATATTTTCAAAACTGCTTTTAAAAGCCAGAGAGTAGATTTGGGACTTGCCCTGCATGTGTGATTTTAGGCCATGAGATAAAAGGGAAAACACAAGTTCCCGTCTGCTTCCTCTCATCCATCCAGTGGGTATCCTCCTGAAATATCTAGCACCACTCTGTCACTCTGACTTTTTAAAGTAAATCCTTAGAGGAGGATCCTGCTGCTCTAATGCTCTGCCAGGAGCTCCACCCAGAAGTAGTTTGCTCTGTCTCCTGCAGACCATGACGCAACTGTCCCCCTAAAAACTGGGAGGTGCATAATTCTCCTCTAAACCTGAACCTTCTGGTTGTCATAATATTTAAGTAAACTGAGAGATCCCAAATGGAGGGAACAAGCCAAACATGCTCTGTCAGATCAGTTCAGGGAGCTCCAATGAAGCCTTTTTAATAGCAGTTCACTTCTATGAAGCATCCCTTTATTAGTGTACTAGACTGATTTATCTAAAAGCCTCTTTTTGTCTGAAAACAAATACATTCATGCCTTTGGAAGTCTGTGAGCAGTAATGTTGATGATGACAGTATCTATTATTATTATTATTATTATTATCATTATTATTATTATTATTATGACAGCCATACGTAGGATACCATTGTTCTAGGTATAGTGGGCATGTAAAATAGAAAGAAAATCTCTGCCCAAAAAATCTTTTTGTTCTCATGAAGACATATTCTATATACTCACTCATGCTTAGCAATACTCTGCTCTTCTGCCAATGTCTGTTCACTGACACTGGAGTTTTCCCTGCAAAGACAAAACAGCATGCTGGAACTCTGAAAAACTAGTTACGAAAAATACCTTCCTGAGGTTAAAAGTCATACTAAATACATTTTTTGAGTAGTTATGCCATGGTCTAAGGTGAATATTTCAAAAAGTTGAGACATATTTAGTTGCCTGGATTTTTTTATGACTCGGTAAACACTGATACAGCCTTTCTCCTCCACTGTGCAATGTGATGGAAAGCCAAATAGTCTCTGTGCATGTTGTAACAGGCAATGAAACTACATATCCCTTTAGTGACCCGATGAAGACACTACATCTACCTTTTCAAAATTTACATGGAAGATTTCCAAAACTGCACAACCCTAGGCTTCCCAAATAAAAGTTCTTAGCATAATAGACAACAGAAGGAGTTCACATGGCAGAAAAAGAGGCCTGTAAAATAACCTCTTGTGCAGAAATTACTATTCTTATTTATGCTGCCTTTTACAGGATACTGTAAGAGCAGGGATTTTTTTTTTAAGGAAACCTCTGAATCTTGTCCTGTATGGTTTACTATGAGACAGTCTGCTATGATTCTGTTGGATTTTCATTCAAATACTTAGGCATACATTTAATGCTTACAATGCCATGTTGTCTTACTAAAAAGGAAACGATGGGTCTGATGTACCACTTCAACAGACCTGGATTCCCTTTACCCTGTACAGGAGTATTCACATACACAAAAAAGCCCAAGAGTGTTAGCAAGGCTGATTTAATGCTGAAATAAGAGTACAAAGACTAAAATCCCAGCATCATTGAAGTCAGTGGCAAAACCCTATTGATTTAAAAGAAACCAGGATTTTCAACTGTTGTTGTTTGAATTAATGCATGAGTCAAGAAGACAAACTGTATCTGATTCTATACCTTCCAGGAAACTTTATACGTAGTACTCAGAAAGTTGCTTAGAAAGAAAAATACTCCAGAAATATTGCCTAATCTTTACTAGGGTAGTGAGGAAAACATCTAAGCAGTGGATGGCTGCATATTGATTCACCTTGGCTCATCATCATTCAGAGATAACTTTCTCAAGTAAGCGCTTGGTACAAAACCTTCGTTCCTGCAAAATAAACAGTTCAGAGTTTAGCTATCGTACGTGACTGCATCTTAAATTTGGTCACTTAAAATAGGAAAAGGGATTAATCAGAGAGCCACTTTTTAGAATGCCACTAACAGAAATGCTCATGGTTAAAACATTTCTGCTTTTACTTACCATGTAGAAAAAATACAGAAGTAATTTGTTTTAGAAAATTACATTTCAATGAAGTACTCTTTTTGCTAGACATTGAAATGGCTTCTTCCTCAGTGATTGGCTTCGTCCTATGGAAGACTGGAGCAGCTGTTCAACGATTTCATTACATTCCATCTCAGTTGCTGTGATGAAAGACGCCGGTGACTAATGGGTGCCAGCAGAGTACCCAAGATCGAACGCAGAAAGTCAATAGGTAGGCTCAGCACCCTCCGCGACACAATGCCAGATGCAATTGAGAAGCTAAGCAAAGTGAATATGGACAGCTGAGCTACCACTTAAAGCAGCTGGCAGCATGGCATTTTGGACCTAAGGTATGGGGGACAACAGGCATTTGTAGTTGTACGAGGGTGGGCTGTATGCTGTGTCCATCAGAAAAATAAATAGGGGGGAAAAGTTGTAAATCTGAATATGGATGGACCCAGAAAGGAAGGATTTCTTCAACACAGATCTCACTGGAGTGACAAAAAAACCTGAGAGTGCATGAAAACAGGTGAAAGAGGTAACTCCCGATGTTTGTTCCTACTACATTCAAGAAAACAAGATCTTCAATTTTTTTCAAGCAGAATTTAAAGGTTTTGTTATGATATGTGACTTGTCCTTACAGAATCAATACTGCAGATGTATCAGTTTCTCAACCCAAAGAAAAAACTGTAAATGCCCCCCTTTTTCTTGATCTCTCTACACACCTTCATTCACCTCAGAGACCCCTACTCAGGTTCTATAAGCAGAACTGCCTGTATCATATGCTTTTACACAGCCATAAACGGTCTAGTGAAGGCATTTAAGACCGTATCTCAGTTTACTAATTTATTATTGTCTTTGAGTTGCCTGGGTTGTGTGCTGCTTGCTTCATCCAGAACAGTAAGTCAATCCTGTGAGTTATAAAGTGCAGACACTTTACGTTAAGTTAAGGTTGCTTTATTTGTTGGTTTCCTTGCAGTTGTAAACTTAATCAGCCAGTTATGAGTGGATCAAGTAATCTCATTGCGTTCCAAACCAGTTTGGGCATCCCCTAGCTCAAAAATTCTTTCCTTCCACGTTTCTATCAAGTACATAAAATCAAACTCAGCTAGTATCCATCATGAGACAGACACGGAATCTTATCTTTTCCAGGAACCTCCTGTTTGTTGCATTGCCTTTGTCTCCAGCGTTCTCCTAAAGCTGTTTCCCATCTAATAACTTGGGAAGAGACGATCTTTTCTGTCTCAGTTGGATTTTAATGAAAAATATCTTATTTTAAGTTGCTGAAGGGGATTCCTCCACTTGTGAACCTCAGAGAGAGCGATTAAACTCTTCTGTCCTGTGCAGGTTGAGGTGTGCTGTCTCTGTGGAAAAGTATTGCTAAAGCTGGGGAGAGACTGAGGTAAGAAGTGATTTGTGCTTCAGCAGTTCTCACTGGTCTCCCTGCTGTCACTGCTATTGCAGCAATAACAGTGATGGTCTACAAATGCTTTAGTGCAAACAAGAGCGGCAACATTTGTGAGGAAAGATTTTATCTTTTTATTCGCTTAAACAAAATAGTTGGAAAAATTGGACAGCTCCTGCATACACAGGGCCTTCTTCAGGCACACATCAAAATTAAGGCCACTGGGTACTACCTTAGTATACTAAGCAGTGGGTGTTGTAAATCTCACCCAACCTGACAGCCAAGGATGGTAATGAAAATGGAGTTGTGCAGAAGACAGTGAGGCTTGCAGAGCAAGGTTTAAAAACTGCTAAGGTAATCCTAACATCGATCCTGAAAGGTACCAGGACTGCCTGCAGGGTTGTCTATGAAGATGAGATTTGTGGAAGACCATGGTCATGGAACAAAAGTATTCTGCAGCGCGTACTTACCCTTCCAAATCCCTTACTTTCCACCAGTCAGAATCTTCCTCTTGCAATACACAGTATTTATTGCTTCTGACAAGCCGGATAGCTGAATTTCCTTCGGGTTCATAGTTGCATTGGGCCACAGCCATTTGCAGGACTGACTTGTCTGGAGATGGCGTCTGAAGCAGGCTTCTGTGTTTTCGCTTTTGAAGACAGAGAAAATAAAATGCTAAGGAGATGCACTACAGGGTACAGTAAGAAATTACATTTGACAAGTACACGATCACTTGTATCATCAACAGGTGTAATGATACTAGGCAAATTAATCAAAGCTAAGAAGACGGGCATGGCAAGCAGCTTTTTTGTTGTCTATTTAGAAGCACAGCCCAGAAACTGTTGTCCACATTTGTGAGACGGGTGAGAACAGAACCAAGTTCCATGGTAATGATGCCAGGAGCAATTAACTCTGAGTGGAGGCTGACACTGCTGTAATAGGAAGCTCTCATTACCAGGGTTACATGATAGACTTGACTCCTGTCAAAAGCCTGCCACCTATCTGAAGCTGATACTACTTAACGAACAGTTGCAATTCATGTGCTTTGGACACCACATGAGCAAATTGTGCTTTGCTATAACTAAGTGTGATGATGCCCTGTTGTATCAAAAGCCCCATCACAGTATTATAAAATAACTTTGGGGTTTTTTGAATGGCTTTTGATCAACAGGTAACATTACTTACCATGAAACACAACAAACATTAGGCAATTGTTACTGCTAATCACTGAAAGCAAAAAGCTACATTCATTCTACATCATTCCCTTTCCTTACCATGTTTTATTGATGTTTCTCTGCTAAGCATGTTGGATATAAGGAATCCCACTCCTTGGTGCCTAACTTTCCCTATGCAGGGTTAAACAACATAACTATGGGATTCATCTTACCTAGCTTTGACCTGTGTGTTCATGTGAAATATGTCATGCTACAGAAGTGTCTGTCTCTCACTGCTGATTCTTGAGGAGGTCTACACAAATTACTTGGATGAGAAGCCTGGCATTAAAGTTAGGTGACATCAATCTAACCACAGACAAAAGGGCATCTAAAATTAAGGCACTGAAATGCATTTAGAAATCAGGGAAATGTCATAACTGAGAAAATCCAGACATCACAATTCTTTAAAAGCAGAGAAAACCACACAGGAAACACTGACAGCAAAGGATGCAGGAAAATAAGAGAAACTTAGGAGAAGAGGCTCCAAATGCCAGCTATTTGTAATTGAAAACCACTGTAATGCAATGCCAGGGAAAAATGCCAGGTGTCCTGAATCAGGCTGTGATTCCTTTAAGTCAAGTCCAAGTGACCATGGCATTGTATTTCTGCTTGTTTCCTCTTTATTGACTTTTTTTAAAAAATTAATTTAAACAAGGAGAACCCAAAGAGCCAAGTGAATGCCTGACTGAATCTGCTGAGCCGGAAGACACACATGATCTCTTCCTGCAAACACACAAAGTCTCAGTCTCATCCCACTAAGCTCCAGTGGAGACACTCATTCTTTAAAGAGGTATCACTCACGGCAGAGTCCTCTTCATTTGACTAGAAGTAGGTCTGTTACTTATCAAGTATTACTACTTGAACCCAGTAAGGGTGGTTCCTGTTGGTCATATCTGACTTTGCTGGAAAGGAGCTTATAGCTTGAGGGCCTGTGTTAGGCAGGATTCAAGTCTTAGACTTCCCATTTGCTTTGTGGAATAATGACAGAACTAGAGTTGCCTGCAGTTGTCAGAAAGATGGAGAAAATTATAATACAGAGATGAGGCTGTTTTCTCTTTAAAGCATCTAGTGATGTTAGAGCAAGGTGATATTCAGTAAATGTGTTTATGAGCTGATGTGCACCTCTGACATTTGGCCTTGGTCATTTTGGGAGATTAAATTGTTCTTTCTTGATTTCCTTGCTTTCTTGCTTTGCTTGTGAAATGATCAGAGTGTCATTCTCTGATGCAGCATTCCTCTTTTTTGTGTGAAGAGAAGAAATTGCAAAGCATCGGCCAAAGTAAATAGTATAAAGATTTATTACCACAGAAATGAGTTTTGCTTTGTCCAACCTGCCAGGGAAAAGAACCAGCCAAAGATGAGCACATCAAATCTGCATCCCTTTGGGTTTCACTGCTGGATGCATATTTGTCTGTTGCAATATTCTGGATGGACTTAATGAGTAACCTGGTACATATTAATGTCCTGATTTGTGTCTAGATATACAGTTTTCCATTTCCAGCACTGGCTGAAAGCCCCAGAGCATTTCCTAATAGTAACTGAGTGGATCTTATTATTTCCTTTATGCTGGCAGTGATACTATTGTGATTTTCATATTGATAACCGTGCTACTGTCATCTAGAGAGAGATGTAGGTCACAGTCTGAGATTCAGCTGCAACGTGCATACAGGGAAGAGTTACTATGATTCCTTAATGATTCTATGATTCTATCTGCAGAACTGCACCGCTACCATGCAGCTGGAAGCATGTGCTTGCTGGATCACTTCAACTTCCATAAAAATCGTCCGATACATAAGCATGAGAAAATAAGTGCGTGCACGCAGAAGACTTCTATTTGATCGAATACTGTAGTATTGATCTGACCTACATGAACCGTTTGCCATTGCAAAGACAGTGGATGCCAGGCACCAGCAGCAGTGAAAGTGTTTGCAGGCAGAAAGCGCCTGCTTCCTGCTGTTATCTGAGCACAAGGTAAGTGCCCACGGGTTCCCATGAAGGGACCTTTCACGGAATCATAGAGTCATAGAATGTTTTGGATTGGAAGGGACCTTTAGAGGTCATCTAGACCAACGCCCCTGCAGTGAGCAGGGACATCTTTAACTGGATCACTAGTCCTGCTATTCTTTATAATGGCATCACTCTTTAGGAACCAGCTCCTCTGTGGGAGACTAGACATACAATGCCGAACTGAAGTAAGGGACACAGGCATCAAAGCTGCAGGATGTAAGCATGCAAAAGTAACGCCTCATGCAAAAAGTAATGCCACTGGTCAGTTTTGCCAACATACAAAAGTAATACCTCTGGTCAGTTGGGAAGAAAGCAAGGGAGCAAGACTTGTAGTGGCTGGACAGGTGAAGGACAAAAACTGAGGCAGGCTGGGGGTATGGTGCTACCTCTGATGCTCAGACTGAGTAGATGAAAGGGCAAAGTACAAATGTGCTGACAGCTTATAGTAGTAGCTCTGTGACTAAACATAGACTGTTCCTTGCTATGAGAAGTCAGTATTAGCCTTCTTAACCTGACTATATGATATGGCTTGGTAAAATGAAGTCAAGTTGTTCTAAGCAGATGTGGTAGTTATTATATCTGCAGTTACGGAGCCTGTTTTAGAAGTACCCACCTGAAAACTGTCATGTCCCTGCTTTTTAAATTTCCCTTTCAAAATACCTCCTCTGGACTCAAGCAGATAATAATAATAAATCATAAAGGCCTAGCACAAGCAAGCATGTTCAGCAGCAGGTTTGCATGACTGATGATCTCTCCAGATAGGCAAACCATCTCCTGATGGAAGCCAGGCAAAACAGACCACGGTATTCAAAACAGGTTACGCTGCTGCGTGTTCACAATGCTGTTGCTTTCAAATCTCATTATCAGGAAAAAGGTCAAAAGCTTCTTTGTTCATAGCTTCTTTCCAAGGTTCCATTGCTATTTTTCTTAAAGCTCGATTTTATGGCTCTTGTGATTTTATCTGCTGTGTCTTGATAATCTATGTGTTTCTTAAAGTCCTGGCTGTTCGTGTCAACTGCATACACAAAAATTCCAACTTGTTTTCTTTTTTCTTTAAGTTACTTTCTGATTAACAGAGAGAGGCTAGGAAATAGTCCCAGGCTGTATTCTAAAGAGACACGGTAGAAGACAAATGAAAATAAAGCAGGAAATACTAATTTAAAAATGCCATGACATGAAACCCAATGTGGTTTAATTTGGAGGAGGCTGGGGTAACGATCTGAGACTACACAGACAGACCATGATGTTAGCCCTTGTTTAAATGGATAAAACCATCATAACTTAAGCCACTTTGTTCTTTTGTATTCTCCTGTCATTGTTACCTCCTTCCCACCTACAAACCTCTATAATTAGGCTGGGCAGTAAAACTAAGGTCAAAGATACCACTATTGCCCTTGTATTTGTACAGGAGGAGATAGTTGAGGAAATAAGCATAGAAGCAGATCTTCCAGTCCTGCTTTTATTCTTAACCCTGCCAACTATTGCCCTTCTTCATCTAGCAACTGCTAGAGGGCTCAAGCGGAATTGAGCAGAAGCAGCGCTTTTTGGCATCCTGGTGTCCTGGTTTTCTCTTTGGGTCTGTGAAAGCCTGGCTTTCTCAGACAGGTGGCAAGGCCCAGTGGGTGCTGGTGGCACACCACACTCCTGGGTTTCTGTCCTATATAAAGTCAAGATACAGGCGAGAGCTCATAAAGAGCTCAGGTGCACTTCCCAATTCATTAACTTAGAGGCTGTCTCTTGTAAAGTTGGGCCAAACAGACTTTCCTAACCAGCCATCCATTCTCCTGACTCAACCCAGAGCAGCTCAGCTTGGGACTTGCCTGAGATAAATGCAGTTCATCCACCATTTCTCACCCACCTAAAGCAGGTATATTTGCTTACATCTTCGGTTACAACGTTTTCTCCAACTACTATGAGAACCATTTTCACTGGGGAGGGTGGTGGAGGGAAGTTTTTGGCATCTCTAGGAATGGGGACCTCCTACACACTAGAAAGCTCATTTTGATGGCATTCCCTGATCCCAGTGGAAATAAGCGTATAAAGTAGAAGACTTTCCTACAAGGGCTGCAGCCAGTACTGTCACCAGCACGTTAAAGTGAACTGAACGTGGCTGAGACTTTCCCAGTTTGTCATTTACAGCACATGGAAGAGGGAGATGAGTCCTTCCCTCTGACATGCTGGTGGACACAGGATGCTGAAGCTGCTCTGCAGATTAGATGTCTACACCAGCTTCCAGTGAGTGGCTGTTTGCAATTCTCCATCCCATCCCACACCCCTCTGTACCATCTGAAGGGACTGGAGGCAGTGGTTTCACAGACCCAGTTGTGCAACAGAGAGTCACATCTAGAAGAGAGGGAGAAATAAAGAAAAAACATGAATTTAAGTAAGGCTTTATCTCCTGAGGCTTTCTCACTTGCAGATCTAGACAGCAGCAGCAACAGCATCGTGACAGCTGACATTTCACCTCCCTGAGGTATTGCCCTGCTTTAGCTCTGTATTTTCCAACCTTCTCTTAAGTCAAGCACCGTCTCAATGTCTTTAAAAACTCCATCAATCATTATTTTCGTCTATGCCAAAACACAAATTCAGGGAAATTTGTGGTAGCACTTAGCTCTGTGGTTTTCCCAGTTCTGCTAGCTTATTTGATTGCATACAAAAGGAAACACACATATGCTTTTTTTTTTTCTGTTTTTTTTTTTTTTTTAAATAATTTCATTGACCTTTTAGTCTATAAAGAAGTGATTAAGAAATGCTACCTTTCAATTACCCAGTGGTTACAAGGCTGAGGCTGTCTGGAGTCATCTCTACATAGACAGTCTCCCTGTGCTCCGCACACTTCTGCTACCAACCTCAGGGGCTTATTTAGGAACAAATTTAGAGTAGATACAGCACATTATCCTACATGCATTCTTATCTCAGGCATAAATGAAGCATTCAATATACAAAAATTCTTTTTAAAATTCTTCTCTTGGCTAAGCCACCCATGAGCGGTAATGAGGTATTTCCTTGTCTTTGCCGCTGAACGAGGGTTTTATGGCCGTATTTGCTTTTGTAACAAGTGGTTTTGAAGCTAGATGATGCTATTCAAATTACAGTTACAAATCAGCTGACAACTCTTTACATTATTTAGTGTTCCATAACGATGAAACCTGTAGTAATAGTAGATAAGCCTATATCATTAATTTAAATTTTCAAAAGCAAATGTTATACTGTTACAGGCAGTTGCACAGATCTCAATCAGGTTCCTAACTGCTCACACTTGCATTTTTGGATAAAACTTTTAATTTGGGGTTCATAATTTTTTGATTGTGACTGTAAATGCTTGAGACCAAGATTCAATCGTGATTGAAATCAGTGGATCTACCAGTGCTCTACAATTCCAGAAAAAATCAAGCTTTAAAAGGTCAAAGCCCAAATAGTCATAAACTGCTGTTTCCTCTCCCAAAAATGGCCTTTCACTGTTAAGCATGTACACAGATATGTGGGAATTCACTCCTGAAAATGTGAAACCTAGGAGGGTACCACTTTACAAATTTTATTCTCTCAGTCTTTACAGACAAAAACTAAGACCCTTAAATATGTGTGACTAAGTTCTAAAAAAAATACTTTAGAAAACAATGTTAAAATGAAAAAAAAAAAGAAAGTTAAAACACACTCTTTAGGAAAAAGATCATATAAATATAATTATATATTCATGTAATACTTTCACTTCAATTTAGTTTTGAAACGGTATTGTTTTATACACATTCATACACACTCTTGTGCTGAACTTCTATTTTTCCTACCCATTCAGCTTATGGGACCTCACCACTGGAAGCGTCTTACAGCGTGATGCTACAATTTAGCTAGAAAACTTGAGAATAAGGAGTAAAATAATTCCACCTAGTTTATTTTGTAGGTAAAAATGTCACTAACTTTTTGATCAAACACATCGGATATAATTTAGTGTATTATTTCCTCCAGTTACAGATGGGGGAATATAAAGCTACAATGTATAGCAGCTATGATGTTAAAAGGAGCTTAGCACATACAGGAAAAGGTGAAAGTAGATTATCTTATATATTGATCACACTGCCTTAAATGTCCATGTGCTTTGGCAATATTGTGAAAAACATCAATGAGACTAATGAAACAAATAAAAGAACACATTACATTTCTCCCAAATCGTACACCCAGGGGCCGCTTTACAGGTCTGGTTGCAACAGAGGAACTTCCCGTTGATGAAGAATCCTTTATGGTACTTGTTTAGTAAATCAGAATTGTCTTTAATTTCTGGAAAGCACAAAGAAACCAAAGAGAACATGACAGGCTGCAAAATGGGAATGTTCTTTACGGTCAATAGAGTCTGCTGTGCTAAACCATGGGACCCCAGAGTGCTTACTGACTCCAAGCTCTCGGCACACATCCTGGTCACATTTTTATCTCTCTACCATATTTCTCTATGTAAACCCAAGTCTGAAATCCATACCCCCCCAGCTACCTGTTTCTTTGAGAAAGAAACCTGGATGTCAAGAAGGAGATACAGTACAATCCAATGAAACATCTGAAGGGAAAGCAGGATCCAACAGTTATGATTCAAAATCACGGATCTTACAAAGATTTTACTATCAATAAAAAAAAAGCTAATTAAAAGAAAATGTTTTCATAGATTAAAATATGATCTATATTTTCCTAGAACTATCTATTGTAAGAAACTTATATTCGCTGATACTCAGTATTAGAAAAGATACACAATACCCATATGGAAAATCCAAACTAATCTTTATCTGTTAAAACACATTTCTTATATAAGCACACCAAAAGGGAACACTGTCACAGAAATACCTATTTCATATTCAAAGCACTGGTTTACTCTAGAAAAATGGCCCCAGCAGTATCATTGTGCTAGTGATACATTAGTTCTGTATCTAAAAAAATGTCGAAGGTATAGAGTGAGACTTTAAAACCTGATTGTTTCAGGACTGGCTTTCTCAGTCCTGCTGCTGTGAGCCATGGTAAACCCAAGGTTCCTGAGCACGTGAGAGAGCAACAAAAGGATCAGGGCAGCTCCTGGGGACAAGTGCTTTTTATACACTTTTTAAGAGGCTTGTAGGCAGCTGAATATTTATGCTATTGTCTCATGAACATTACAAAATATATCAATTACACAACCTTATTCTTCACAAATTTTCTTTTAAAAGATCTTACTGCAAACCTTGGTTTCTAGACGGCTCAAGGTAGTTAGTTTGCTGAATGCTTCCAATTCTACTTTTGGTCCACATTCTCCATAACACTGGCAAATTAACTGACGTACTTTCACTTCTGTGCATGCAAAGGGAGTCGCAAACAGAGACGTAGCTCATACATGGGCTTACAAGTAAAACTGGGGAGGATATTTGTTCAAAGTCCATTATAGATTGCCTGGTTTTGTTCCTACAATGGCCAGCATGTGTGAAGGTTTTCTACTCAATGTGAGGTTTTTACCTTCACTGGATTTACGCAGGGACACAGTTTTCTGCTTATAAATTATGCTTTACATGACTGTGATTTTGCTTTATTGAAAACAATAGAAATTTCCTTGAAAAAAAAGAGGAAAACACAAAAAAAGCACTAGCAGTATAGGCTATACGAATGGTATACCTACATTAGAAATAGTTGTGCTCTATTAGCCTGCATCGGTAAAGGCTGAACACACGATGAAAATTAAAAAATGCCCATGAAAAATATAAAAATAAGCTTTATCTTGGCTTATTTCTTACTAAGACTTCCAGCCTTTAAAATTTCCAATCCATTCTTGAAAATACCATGCATTTCAACCAGCTGGTGCTGAAGTATAAATAAGACTAAAGACAGGTGATGAACAATTGCACAAAATGATGGGGCAGGAGCATTTTCCTATCTCTCCTCATGTTATTTGAGTATTTTGGTACACAACGGTATAGTCTTACCGTTATGCAAAGCTGCAAGCCACCGCTCCCTGCTCTCCTCATTAGCGGCATAGACATAGAGAAGGCCACCCTTGTACACAATCTGGAAGAGTTTGGGAAAGCCAGCATGGTGAGAATGTACCACCTGAAAACATGCTACTGTGCAAGGAAGGGAAAGGAGAAGAGGATAGGAACCAAAAAAAATAGGCTTTATGGACCCACATTGAACTTCCACAACTTAGTAATGTTTCTCAGAGGCCACTTATATTCTTGCCATTTCATATAAATACTTCATATTTCATACAAGTAAATAAATATAAATATAAATATAAATATAAATATCAATATCAATATCAATATCAATATCAATATATACAAATACAAATACAAATACAAATACAAATAAAAATACAAACCACCTTAACCGAAGTAGATCGTGTCCTAAAGCACAGTTGCAGAAACAAAGGACAGCATTGAATATTTCTAAATACTCCCATCTTCTATGTACAAAAGACCTTATAGCCCACATGTAAACTCTTTCTTTCCACTTCAGCTTTTCCAGATTCATCTTCCAGCTTTTGGCTCATGTTACACAAGGCCAGACCGAATGCTCACCGAGGTCAGGAACCCATCTCTGTCAGAGTCCAGTAACAAATACTGAGGCAGGGTATGTGCTCAGGGCAGCTGTACAGTGATCAGGGACTCCTGATCCAAAGGCGATGCATTTATAGTCAATAGCCTTTGAGAGGGGTATTTTTCCTCTATGAATTTGTCCAGTTGTCTTTTTAAGCAAATAACTAGTGCCTACAGCATCCTGCGGTAAGTAGTCCTACAGCTTTGCTACACAATATGGAGTCAACTTCTTCTGCTTGTTTTCAGCCTGTCTTCTGCTAGCTTTCTTTGCAGCCTACCTAATAATTACTAGCATCTGCTTTGGTTTTTAGATCATGTTCAGTGCTCGGCTGACTCTGCGTGTGTGTGTGGCTGTGTTAGGTCAGGGTTTCATTTCCCTCGTGCGCATTGCTTTTCACTCATCTGCACTATATTTCAAACACCACTTTATTGCCTTTGTTTGTTAAAGTGAAGAGCCCTCGTCATTAAATGTGTACTCCTGCTGGTAAGTCGACACGACTGATCAATTTGCTTCCTGTCTCTTTATTTAGTTAAATGGTGGAGCCCTGTGAGCTGTTCTCTTTAACATGTTATCCATCCAATCTATTAGTCACTGTCAAGTCTCTCCTTTGACCTGTCTTCCGTTTACAACATCTTTCTTCAATTATAGTCACCAGGGCTAGGCACAATATTCTCCCGGTGCTCACAGTAATGTCAAAACATATTGAGTGCTTTTACTCAATATGTGCCTGCTTCCATGTCCAAGGATGCCATTAGCTCCTTTGGCCACAGCATCACACTGGGAATTTATGTTCACCTACCATGATCCTGAAGTCCTCTTTAGAGAGTCTGTTTCCCAGAACAGGGTCCCCCATCCTGTAACTATAGCATATGCTCTTTTCCCCACTTAATTGAATTAGGCACTCCTGACAAAAAGTACACTAATGTAACATAAATATGTCATTCAGTGCCACAAAACTGGGGGAGGGAGAAGGGAAAGGAAGACAGGATGACACCTAGGATCAACCAGGCAGTGAAATATTAAGTATTTCTCCTGAGGTTGCCCTTGGGCATGGCTGTTATTGCAGGGTCATGAATTAACACACTCTTTGGCAACCCTGTTATTCACTCCAGCAGCCTGCTGCTTGCAGTTGCGCTTTTTGGCAGCGGCACTCCAGAAGGGCATCTGTGGCCACTTCTCACATCTGCATGTCCCACTGCCCATAGAACTGAGATTGATGGAGGCTGTAGGAGGAACCTGAGCTGGGCCACTGCAACAGATGGAAGGCAGCAAATTTGAAGTTATGGTTTTCTTATCGCATTTAATTCTGGAACATGTGTAGCGCTTTGCGCAGCTGCATCTTCTGATACAGGGCATAGCCTTGGATCTCCTGACTGTGACACATCTGAATGGTAATGAGGCAGTCAGGGGTCACATCCTGCACTTGGTATTGAGGCCAAAAAAAGGAAGTGGAAAGAGACAGTGAAAATTAAAATAAGATTTTTTAAGTGCTTAATTCTGCCTTAAAATACGGATAATCATCTAGTGTAGTGATCTATATATTCCAGATACTATTAAAGCAAATATCTGATAGACCTCTGAACATAAAAGAAGCAAGACTTGATCTAAATTCTATCACGGTCAATTAAAAATATTTCAGCAAAGTCACAACTTTAGTAATAGGGACTGATTTTCTATTTGCTGTAGCTATCAGTGTCACTCAGCAATACCAGGTATCACCACTTAGGACAGACAGGAACACTAAGTGTAAGCTTAGGATGAGTGGCATGTTTCACATGAAATGTAAATTAAACAGATTTCAGGGCTCACCTGAAAAGGATATTGCCTCGCAGGAGGTGTTGATTCCTCAGCATTCACTGTCTCAACACATCGGATTTTCTCAATCTCAATTGACCCCCTTTTGCTTCCTTTTTTCTAAGGGAGAGAAACCACAGCAGACTATAAACTAATGTTAACACAATGTAAAGTGCTCTAGTTTGATGATTTTGTACAATTTTGTATTTCAAGCCATATAAGCCATAGCTTCACCTTTGTTAAACTTTAAAAGAAAGGTAGTAAAAAAACCTCCTTGGTACTCTACCTGCATCTAATATATTGATCAAATTCCTTTTTAAGTCAGTCAGTTACAGGAATTACAGGACACTGCCCTACATCTGAGAAAGCATCTGCTGTAATTGCAGGAGTACAGGGCAGAAGGAGGACTAGGAGGAAAAGAAGAAGGAGGAATTAAGAGGTAAATACGTTAAGTGCAAACCAGAAGCCTCGCTGTAACATTCATAATTTTGTTAAGGTAACGGAGCTTAATCTCACTGAGCTTCCCTGCAGTTTTGTAATGGTATGTAAGTCGCAGGAGGAGTCCAAATGTGTGAAAAGGAGAAAAAAGCTTTAAAATAAGTTGCCTGGGACATGTATTTGCATTCCTGATGGGAGATCTTCCAAGTGAAAAGCCACCCCTTTGTGATATACAGTCATTCCTTAGGAAACAAGGATAGTTTGACCATCTGCTTCGTGCAGCTGAGAGATGCGATTCCGAACTAATTGTGCCTCACACAAGTAACTTCTGAAGCCACTTATTCACATCAGTTCAGAGGGAAGCCTGAACAAGGAAAACATCCCTATTCAAGACAATGTGTAAACATATGCCAAAGTTAATTACTCGCTCAAGTTCTCTTTGGAAGGCCACAAGCAGATGCTCAATGGTAAGCACAATTGCAAGAGTTGTTTTGAACAGAGACAATCTTAAGCCTGCGGCTCAGTGTTTGCCTGAACTGAAACTAGGATCTGATACCCTGTAATTCCACTCAAAGCAAAGTACACCTGTTGTTCTAACACACAATGTCGAATCAAGTTTCACAGATGAAAACCAGAGAAATGAGGTGACACTGGAAAAGCTTACAACAGTTTACTTAAAAAAATTATTTCTTACCCCTTTGTCATATTCATAGTAAGAGAGGTTTGTTTTCGTCAGAACAAACAACCTTTTCTTGTAATTAATTGGTGATATTTTTTTCTTCTGTTGTGACTTCTTTAAAAGAAGCTCTTCTAGAATTGCTTTCTTCTCCATTATAATTCCCTAAAAGAACATCATTGTTACTTTTATTACTACTATTAATAAACATAGCGACATCAACTATAGAAACTGTAATAATTACTATATTAAGAGTCATTGTCCTCTCTATGTTGTATAAAATTTCATAGTAATATATGGTCACAAAGCACGTGTTTAATAATGCGTAAACAAATGAGGTTGTTTAGCTTATTCACTCAGTAAGAATAAACACAGTATACAAAAATTAAGCTACAGCTATACTGTAGTTCTAAACAAGGCATCTCTTACTAGTTTATCATCTGAGGATCTCTCTTTTTAAAGCCATGCACCCTTCCTGGCAAAGAGCAGTCTGCTTTATGCACAAATGTATTACATCCGCAGCATAACACAAAAGATATTACAACAGCAAAGAGAAAAACAACAAAAAAGAAACCCCTTCTTTTTACAGACCAGAAAAGCATACCTAGTGCTGACGTGCCTGTTCCCTGAACTGGAAATTTCCCATTTCTTTCTTTCAATGGAAACAATTACACATTTATGGAACAGTGACACATAGAAAAGATCAAAAAGTAAAAATATTCTTGCAACGTATTTATGTACATATATACTTATATCTATCTATTTTTTCTTAGCCTTGATAATCACACAGTAAAAAACACCAAGAAGGATGAGACCCATTGTATTTCTACAAGTTCAGCACAGTTTCAGGTTATCTTACCCAAATGTGAAGAAAGTAGGTCACGTCCTTTGCCCCGTACTGGTCTGGAGCTCTAAAGGGAAGTGTTGTGCTAAGCTTCCCACTTGGATATGACCCTGTTCACTACAGACAGCCCAGCAGAAAATTTGCATGGTGCTCATCACACCCACTTATCTATCCACTGAATCCTACCCAAACGCAGAAAGTAATAAATATCTAGTAGGAACAGTCTGAAGAGGAAAAGGGGGGCTTTGCTAGCCCTTATTCCACCATGGGTACCTGGCCACCCTCTCCGTGGATAGGATGCCTACTTACACCTTCCACCAACTCTCTTTTGGACAGACCAGTGTATGTTAGTGCCAGTGGTGAGTCAGTTTAAAGGCAATCTTGCCATGGTGTGCAACATCTGAAGGAGATATGAGCTTGGGGTAGGTAAAGGAAGAGTTGGGGCCGAAATCTTCCTATTGAGATGTCTGCTCTGATGCCGGGGAAAAGAGGAGTATCCACCCCACTTTAGGAAATTTTTCAGGTATTACAGGGTAGGTACTTGCCCTGACTGTAAGAGTAACTAGCATGAAGTTAGGAGTTAGTTCAACATAGCTTAGAGAAGCTGTCTTTGAAATGAAAGTATTAGGTTTGACAGAAAATGTTAAAAACCTTGTCACTCCCACAACGGAGCAGTAAGAACTGCTTTTTGTAACAGCATGTGGGTTTGCTTCCTTACACTGGGAAACATCCAATCTTTAGCTCCAACCCGCTGAAGTTCATGGAGCTCACGGGAGTACTGGAGGCCAGAAAAATGGATGGAGGAGATGGGATTTCAGCTCCTTTATTTTAAAGAATTATTTGCAGGTCCTTTTTCTGGGGTTGTCACTGTGTGATCTTTACACATTTTCTTAATTAACTGCTGCTTCATATAATCTGAGAAGTTACCTGAACTGCCAGGACTGATAACATTGCTCATGTGAGTCGAGGTTTCTAATCCACGTCGGCTCTAACACTGTGACCACTGAGAGCCCAGGGAATATCAGCTGAAGCCACACAGAGTGACTGCACTCTACAGTCAGTGCGGCTTAGAAAAAAGGCCAAGTACTTCCATTACTACTTTTAGAAACACTAACAAAACAACCTCTGGCTTTGACAAAGTTGTGCCATTAGTGCACACCAAGAAATGAGTAGAGACAAAAGGATTTATCACAATATGTAATTTCATTTAAATATTAGAACCTTATATTCTATAAACTGTACCTTGCAACACCTATTTATTAATAAACTATTAAAAATACAGGAAGATATAATAAATATATCAAATACAAATTATGAAATTGGGCTTGTTCAGCCTGGAGAAGAGAAGGCTGCGGGGAGACCTGATTGCGGCCTTTCAGTACCTAAAGGGGGCCTATAGGAAAGATGGGGAAAATCTTTTTAGTAGGGACAGCTGTGACAGGACAAGGGGTAATGGTTTTAAACTAAAACAGGGTGGGTTTAGACTGGATATAAGGAAGAAATTCTTTACAATGAGGGTGGTGAAACACTGGAAGGGGTTGCCCAGAGAGGTAGTGGAGGGCCCCATCCCTGGAAACATTCAAAGCCAGGTTGGACAGGGCTCTGAGCAACCTGATGTAGTTAGCGGTGTCCCTGCTCACTGCAGGGGGGTTGGACTAGATGGCCTCTAGGGGTCCCTTCCAACCCAAAACATTCTGTGATTCTATGAAATAAATAGTAAACTCCTATAAGATTTATTAAACATATTTATTAAACAAAATTATAAATATTTATAACAAAAATGTTTTCTTGATATGGGAAAACCCACATATTCTTCTTTCTAAAGTAATTAACTGAAAATAATATTCTGTTAAATTTAGGAACTTGATGACTCTGGATATATCCTTGCATAGTCAATGACATTCTGGATCCCCTTGTGATCTAATAGCATGCCTCCCACCTTGCTGCCTGTGGACCTGTGGCAAGCACATGACCTAATTCTAAGGGTGGAATAGAAGGTTAAAGGTATAGGTTAAAAGAAACACTTATAAGACGTGAAAAAACCTATAAGATTATTGCATCCCTTGGTTTCTCTGAAACAGAATACTGTCTATTCAGCCTTTGAGGGAGCAGCTGCTTACATTGCAGTGTATATAAGCCACTTCATTACTGGAGTGCTCTGGCTCAAGCTTAAAAAAATGTTTTCCAGATTTTGACTTCTCATTACAATTTGAGATAGAAAACAATTTCAAAACTAAACAAAAATCTTGATGGCAAAACTGCTTCCTGTCCAGATCCACTACATAATGCTCTTCTTTTTCTGCTTGCAGAAAAGAAATTAAAACAGTTGAAATTATGCCAAATGAGATGTTCAAATTTTTTTTAAATTTTTTTTTAAATGAGGTTACGGTTCCAGGAATAAAATGTGTGTGTGTTGCACTGCTTTTTCACTGCCCAGGCTGCCCTCCCTCTGCGAGCAGACTCTGCCGTACTGAGTCAGAAGGTGCCTGCACTAACCTCAGCTGTGCTGAAGGGACAACCCTTCGGTGCAGAGAGTGGCCTGTGCTGTGTACAAATTTCTGCCTCTCTAGAGAATTGCAAGTTATGGTACTCTCCCTCTTGGCTGGATGAAGCTCAGTTCCTTCAACTGTGAAACTTAATTTTTCCCTGGAAGAAAATAAAAAGCCATATGGAATTAGCTGTAAACATTTGTTCCATATGATTTAAAGAGACATGAAGGACCGAAGGATCTTTGACTATTTTTCCAGGCTTGAAATTTCTGTGTTGTGTTCCAAACCGTTGTGCTTGTACTGAGGATATTTGCATTTTCTTTGCTTTCCATAACACAGTGACAAAGATAAAAGGTTTGTTCTCCCAACAGATCTTTAAAGTCTTAGAGACCACTCTGTCTTTCAGAAAGAGGGCTGTTGTGAGACAGTTTATCAGAACTGTACTCAGCGAGGAACAAGCAAAAGGAGCCCGGACATCCTGGAGGCTGGAGGTGCTTCCTCTAGCATTAGCTGCTGCTTCTGTTTCCTTCTCTGGCAAAATGGTTTGGATGCAGTGGTCACCGCTAAACATTTTATAATGGCAGGCTGTAATGTGGCACATGAGCTGCAGGGTACTCTGGCTCCTTCCCTCTTGGTAACCTTCATCTTCAGGAGACCGAGCAGCTGGAAAACTAAGAGGGAAAGGGACAGCAGCTGAGACAGGGCAAGCCTGCAGAAAAACCTGGCCAAGCTATGGTGGCTAGGGAAACAGCCACATTGAAAGCATGGCTCCCACCTCAGAAATGCCAGCAAGGTGGAGGTCCTCACTCCCAACCAAGTAGAACCATCTCTTCCACCCAGATGAATTAAGCACACTTGTTGGGAAGTGCCTGTCACTATGGCTTGGCTCATGGATATAGAGGGACCAGGACAGGACGATGGGGTGGGGTGGGCAGGCTGGGAGACAGCAGGGATAGTGACAGGTCTGGTGGGGAAGGCAGGACAGCAGGGAGCGGGACAGGGTTGGGGAGATGGGACAGGAGTAGCTGCCTGCAGCAGGCAGGGGTTCTGGGGGGACAAAGGCAGGGCCTTGTGCAGACCTAAGCTGGTGGGGAGAGTAAGATGGTCCTGGGCAGTGGGTGAGGTAGGTGGCAGGGTTCTGTGAAGCTATTTTGGGGTAGAAAGCAAGGTGTAGGTATTGGGGTGGAATGTAAGGTCTGGGGCATCTGGTGTGGTGGCAGAGGGAGGCTCGGTGGAGGTGCGAGCAGAGCCATGGTAGGGTGTCAGGCAGGGGAAGGTGGCCCAGCAGCTCGCTGGGGACAGCAGGCAAGGGTCTGGTCAGCTGGTGGAGGTGGTGGGGCATCAGGCATGGACCCAGACAGCTGGTATGGTCGCTGGTTAGAGGGCAAAGCAGGAGCAGCAGGCAGAGGCTTGGTGTGGGGCAGGGAAGAAGGGGCACTGTTCGGCCATGTGTAGGGGTGTGGGGAAAGTAACAGGGCCATGGGCTGGCCAACCAGCAGGGCAGAAAACGGGGTGGAGGTAGGCAGGAGAGGTGTCCGGCAAAGGCCTCAGGGTGGTGGGCACATGTCAGTCAGGGTAAGCTGTTGCTGAACTAGATTACTCCCATTCTGCTACGTGGACCATCTCTGAGGAAAGACTCCATCACCTCCCTCCACCCTGCCCCAGGGGCATGCCTGGTGTGAGGACATGGCAGCAGGCTTTGTTGGCATTCTCTGTACAAAAGATGGCCAAACACCACTTCATTTCATAGAAATACCAGACCTTTTGCAGGCGTTGTCTCCCACAGGTTCAGAGAGAGCTTTTGCCTTTGTTTCATGTGAACT